GAGGCTTACCACCCATTTATCCCTCCGCCTTTCAATTAGCCCCACATGTGATTATCAGCCAGGCTGGTACAATTAACTAACTCAGTAGCCCAACTCGTAACCACTGCAGCACCAGGACTCAAGAAATCCACAATGAGGACTGTCCAGCCCAAAGTGACAGGTGGATGTTCAAAGGGAATGCTTGATTCATTCAGCTTCACTGCCATCCATCAGGTACTGATTAAGTGCCAAGCGTTTTTACATGTATATTTCATTCTCTGCGATGTCATTAGAACCCAAGGTGCCTAGACCAAAGCTGTTGCCACTCAAAACCTTTACCCTCACATGAAATAATCTTTTCAGTCTGCTCTATTCATTTAGACAAATATTCACTGAGAACTTAGAATGTGCACCACATAGACTATGAAGCTGAGTAAGCCGCAGTCCATGGCCTCCCACATTGCTACCAAGAAAATGTATCAAAAACTCACTGTCATTGATTCAATGTCAAATCATAGCGACCCTGTAGGGCAGAGTAGAACTGTCCTGTGAGTGTCGAAGACCGGGAGTGGAGTGTTTACACATGGTGGAGGGTGAAATACACAAGCTAACTAGTAACAGGTACAGGTGTCAGGAGTCAGCTACCAGGGGTGTGGATTCAGAAGAGGGAGAAAAGGCATTGGTGTGGGGGATTCTCTCATGATTGCAAAGGTGACCATTCACCCCAAACGTGCAACACATTTCACCCGTCATGGCTCCATGGCTCCACACGTAAATAAGAGACAGGGTTGCTGGTTGTGATTCTCCCCGTGAACATTGAACAGAAACTAGCCCCACCAATTCCAGTAGCTGCTGTGTTAACCATGCATGGAACATGGAGTTGTATGTTGTCGTTTCCAATGAACTAAATGCTCGTTTTACATATATAACAACAGTCTTTCTCTGTTCTAATGTTTTTATTATAACACATACTTCATTCAGGAATATGGTTGGGTAAAACCAAGTTCTTCCCAGTAAGATTATAAGAAAATAGGTAATTTTTTGGTCATCATTTATTTAGAAAATATTTCTGAATTTGCAGTTGCACAGAACTGTATTACTAGTATGCCTGCATGTCAGTGCACTGGTGAAGGTGCAGAATGCTGATGAATACAGTGTCCTTTGTCCCACGCTTAATAGAAAATGTGGTGTCTGAAAGTAAAGGTTGGAGAAACTTTATATTGCAGCAGTGTGACCTCTTTATAGGACTTTTAAAAGATAGATTGATGTTCCTTGAGTTCCTATTAAAATATTTCATTGTAATGTAACTTTCCTGAACCCATTCATATAAAATTAATTTTATTAACCTAGAATTCTATTAAGCAGTACTTCCACACTTCACTGGTACAACAATAATTGATATTCATAATAATGGCCTCATGTCCTCACAAGCTTCTAAAAGTCTCCTGAATGAAAGGAGCCTGAATCATGTTCATTATATTTTTATAATTTAGTTATAGACACATTTTATTTTATAGAGCGTGCGAACTACTTAAAATTAAAAGTTTTTGCCATTATTTTATAGTCGAGACATAAAAAGATGAATCAGGTTGCCCAAGAGTCTACCCTCTGACACAGTAACCTCGTTTCTCAAGGAGATCAGCTAGAGACTTCCCTCCAGGTTCAGGTTCCCACTGGGGCCTCATGGGGTGCTCAGCTCAATGGCAGCTGAACAAAGGTGACCTCTCTTCATGACCCCCTGAGAGTTCCCAGGCCCCGGCCTTTGGGGCCTGGTCTCTGAAGCTGTTTCTTTTCAGGCAATCTGCGGCTCTCTTCAATCCTTATCTACGAGTGGGAAGTTGCCTTAGAAGAAGTGGCACCGTTTAGATGAAATATGAAGTTTAATCTAGGGAACGCCACGGAAGCATGAAGGGAGAGGCCTTTGTCCAAGTGCTGTCTAGGTGCTTTCATGAAAAGTCACCACCGAGAGCACTGTTTCCCAAAATGGGTGATACCGCCTCCTGGGGGGGGCACTGATATGAGCCGCCGAACCCAAAGCCAAACTCACACCCAGAGGT